CGCGCAGCCCCGAGCGCCGCGGCGACCTCGTCATCGAGTTCAGCGTGCGCTTCCCGGAGCGCATCCCGCCCGCCGCCCGCCCGCTGCTCCAGCAGATCCTGCCGGCCTAGGGAGCGCCGGGAACGCGACGGCCCAAAGCGGCCTCGGAGGGGCCCCAGGGCTCCTCAGAGTGGCCCCAGGTCTTCCCAAAATGGCCCCAAGTCTCCCCAAAAGGGCCCAAAATGACCCTGAGTCTCCCCAAGTGGCCCCAAGGCTTCCAAAGTGGCACCAAAATGGGCCCAAAATGCCTTGAGATGGCCCCAAGGCTGCTCAAATGGCCCCAAAATGGTCCCAAGTCTTCCCAAAATGACACCAAAATGGCTCTGAGTCTCCTCAAAGTGGCCCCAAGGCTCCCAAAGTGGCACCGAAATGGCCCCAAAATGCCTTGAGATGGCCCCAAGGCTGCTCAAATGGCCCCAAAATGGTCCCAAGTCTTCCCAAAATGACACCAAAATGGCTCTGAGTCTCCTCAAAGTGGCCCCAAGGCTCCCAAAGTGGCACTGAAATGGGCCCAAAATGCCTTGAGATGGTCCCAAATCTCCCCAAAAGGGCCCAAATGGCCTCAGGGCTCCTCAAGTCTCCCCCAAATGGCCCCAAGGCTCCTCAAAATGGTCCCAAATGGCCCTGAATCTCCCCAAAAAGGTCCCGAATGGCACCAAGGCTCCCAAAGTGGCCCCCAATGCCCCCAAGTCTTCCCAAAATGGCCTCAAGTCTCCTCAAATGGCCTCAAATCTTCTCAAAATGGCCCCAAGACTCCCAAAGTGGCACAAAAACAGCCCAAAGTCTTCCCAAAACGGCCCCAACTCTCTCCAAAGTTGCCCCAGTCTTCTCAAAGTGGCCCCCAAGGGCCCCAGGTCTTCCCAAAGTGGTACCAAAATGGCCCTAAGTTGCCCCAAATGGCCCCAAGTCTCCTGAAATGCTTCAAATGGCCCCAACTCTCCCAAAAGTCCCCAAAATGGCCCCGACACTGCCTGAAATGGCCTCAAATCTTGCCCAAACGGTCCCAAATCTCTCCAAATTGCCTCAAAAGGCCCCAAATGGCTCTAACTGGCTCTAGGCAGCCCCGAAATGGCTCAAAAACCTCCAAGTGGCCCAAATAGGCCTCTGAAATGAGCCCGAGCCTCCCCCAAACAATCTCCAGATGGCCACAACTCCTGCCCAGATGGCCTAAAAGGCCCCAAATTGCCCCCAAAATGACCAAAGATGACCCCCTAGCTGCCCACAAAGGTGTCAAACCTCCTCAAAATTGCCCCAAATCTTCCTAAAATGGACCAAAATGCCCCCAAACCTGCCCAGAATGGCCCCAAAATGCCCCTAAACCTCCCCAGAAAGGACCAAAATGACCCCAAACCTCCCCAGAAAGGACCAAAATGACCCCCAAGCTCCCCAAAATGGACCAAAATGACCCCCAAACTCCCCCAAATTGTCCCTCAATGCCCCAAAGTGGCCTCAAGAGGCCCCCAAATGACACCAAACCTCCAAAATGTCCCCAAACAGGCCCATCCTCCCCAAAATTGCCCAAACCCCCCAGATTTGGGGTCTTTAACGCAGCTCCCTTCTGCTGTCCCATTTTCCCCCTTTCTCCATGATTTTTTTTTCTTTTTTTTGCCGGAGAAATCAGGGAAGTTTCCGGCTTTTTATCCACCCGGCAGATCAAAAAATTGGGAGAATTTTGGGGGAGAATTTCCCATTTTTTGGTGCTGGGCGGGAGGGGTGGGGGAGGGGTCTCGGCACCCGTGTACAGATAAATATTTTTCTCTCTTTTTTTGTATAAACTGCTGTAAAATTCACGTGTAATTAGTAAAAAAGAAGATAAAAAAACAATTAATTAATTAAGTGCCAGGCCTCGTTTGTGGGGGAGGGGGGATCATCCGGGCTGGGTATTAGAGGGATTAATGGAGGGGATTAAGCCATGGGGGAGGGGGGGAATAGGATTTAGGGATTTGAGGGGATAAACCTGACCTAGATGCCCCCCCCTCACTTCTGGAATTTTACCAGTTTGGGGCTTTTTTGCCCCAAAATCTACTGCCTTCCCCGCCCACCCCGCGGCCTTGGGCTCCACGTGCCGCCGCCTACAGCTCCCAGCAGCCCCTGAGGCGCCCGCGGGGGACGCCGGGACTCGTAGTCCGCGGCGCTGATTGGCTGGGGGCGG